GCTGAATTTGGACCAGTCCATCCCATAACTAGAGTCTGTGAAGCAGAGTGAGAGATCAGAAACAGCAGGATACTTTGAAGCCACAAACCTCGGTTCTGGTCATGGTTTTGCATCTTATTAATATAATCTTGGGTAACAAATGCTCTTACCAACCTATAGTCTTCTCACCTGTAGGATGAAGCAAGTGCCACCTTCCCCCAGGGATTGTTGTGAAGAGTTGACATCACATATTATTGATGTGTGCTGTCAATTGATTGCAACTCAGAACAACCTGATAGGGCAGAGTAGAATTGCCCCATAGGGTTTCTAAGGCTGTAATCTTTACAGAAACAGATGGTCACATCTTTCTTCTGCAGAGTGGTTGGTGGCTGACCTTTCAGTTAGCAAATGAGCGCTTTAATCATTGCACCATCAGAACTCCTTTGAGGTCACATTAACACAGTGGAAATGGTGCCTGATGAGACTCATGAACACTTACTGAGTACAAAATATATCAGGGGCCATACTAGGCACTTTCTATTAAATTATTTAATCCTCACATCAATTCCATGAAATAGGTACTATTGTTATAAAGAAACAAAAGTAAATCACTTGCCCTATGATCACACAAGTAATACACAGTCAATATAGAATGAATCCATGCACTTGATGTTTGGAGCCCACTTTCTTTAATTTTGCAGTTTATACCAAGATAGAAACTAGCATAACACCTACCATTGTAGGCGATTAATAAATGCCCCACTCCTTCTCTTGGTCTCTCCTAATTACATAGAAAGAATTAGGATTCACATGGAATCCTGGTATGTTTCTGTAGGATCAACACTGTACTGCTATCCTAAAGGTCAGCAGTTTAAACCCACTAGCTGCTCCTCAGAAACACTATGGCACTTAACAAAGACAATAGCAATCATATGTTGTTGTTGTGTGCAGTCGAATTCTGACCCATAGTGACCCTGAACAGGGTTTCTGAGGCTATAAATCTTTACAGGAGCAGAAAGCCTCATCTTTCTCCCACGGAGCAGCTGATAGTTTCGAACTGCTGACCTTGTGGTTCACAGCCCAATTCGTAGCCACTACACTACCAGAGTTCCTGGTAGCAATCATATAAGATTATGCTGATAAACTGATAGATAAGTGCATGTGAAAACCCTTTGGAAACTCTAAAGTACAATGAAAAGAAAAGCCCCAAACCAGTTGCCATTAAGTTGATTCCAACTGATGGCAACACCATGTGTGTTAGAGTAGAACTATGTCCCAAAGGGTTTTTAGTTGCTGATCACCAGCCCTTTCTTCCAAGTTACCTCTGTATGGACTTGACTCTCCAAACTTTCAATTAGCACTCAAGTGCATTAACCATTTGCACCAACCAGAGACACTATGGAAATACAGGGCATATACTTTTTTTTTTTTTTTTTTTAATGTTTTATTGTGAATTATGTGATCGTTTACATGGGAGAACATTAGCGTTACATTCATCCTCTCATATATCATTTCATTGCCATGATTACAATCCACAGGGCATGTAGTTTTAAAATAGCTTTATTGATTCACGAGGATGAGCCAAAAATTATCTACTCTGGCTGTAGAATTTATTTTAATCAACTTTTAGAAAAGACAAATACATAATTTTTCAGCATTATCTCCTGGCTTTTCAATACACTTTGTCCATCTGTCGACAAGCTTCCATATTCCCTTATTTAAAGATGTTTTAGGCAGACCTGCACGCCATGAATGTACCGCTGTCTTCACTTTTTCATCAGATGTGGATGTGAATCTTCATCCTTGAAGGGCTGCTTTTATGGGACCAAACAGGTCAAAGTCCGATGGAGCAAGATCAGGATTATAGGGAAGATGCTTTAACACCCCCAAACTAAGTTTTTTGCAGAGTGTCAACAGTGTGGGCAGAGGTTTGCAGTTGTCATGCAAGATCACAATGCCCTTGGATAGCAGTCCTCTGCATTCAGTCTGAAGTTTAGGCTTCAGATCTTCAGTGAGCAGCTCACTGTAATCAGCACTGTTGATTGTTGAACTTTTTCCTGATAATGTTTCAATACTGGCCCTTGAGAATTCCAGAAACCTGTAAATATCAATTTTCCAACTGGTGGTTGACTTTTGAACTTTTTCTTTGTTGGCGACTGAGGATGTTTCTATTCCATACCTTGCTGTTTACTCTCAGTCTCATAGTGATGACTCCTTGTCTTGTTACTGGTAATGATTTTTTAAAATAAACCTTTACCTTCCTTCAAGTATCCATCCCAATTTTGTTTGCAGATGTCTAAACGCATCTATTTACGCTCTTCTGTGAGTTGTTTTGGTCCCCATCTCACACAAACTTTTCAAAACCCAAGGCTGTCATGGATTATTTCATAGGCCTAGCCGTGGCTGATTTGTCACATAATTCACTGTCGCTTGTCTATAGGACAGAATCATTTCATGTGCACACTCAATGTTGTCATCAGCTGTAGACGTGGACGGGAGTTGTAATATAACCAGAGGCAGAGCATTTTTGACTCACCCTTGTATAATTCACATACCAAATAATTCATCCACTAAAACATCCAATTTACATATTTGCTTGGTTGTGGACCTATCACCACAATCAATTTTAAAACATTTTTATCACACTATAAGGTACACCTCTCCCTTTTAGCCATTATCCCTCACGTGCCCAGGACTCAACCGGAATCTCGCTAGTCCTTGGCAAACACTAATCTGCCTTCTGTCTCTATGGATTTGAATATTCTAGACATTCCATTTAAATGAAATCATATCATATGTGGTATTTTGTGACCAGATTCTTTCACTTATAATATTTTCAAGATTTATCTGTGTTGCAGCATGTATCAGTACTCCATTCCTTTTCATTACTGAATTGTATGCCTTATATGTTGTTGTGGTTAAGTGTCTTTGAGTCAGTTCTGATTCATAGCCACCCTATATAGGGTTTCCGAGGGTTAAAATCTTTGTGGAAGCAGAAAGCCTCATCTTTCTCCCATGGAGCAGCTGGTGGGCTCGAACTGCTGATATAGGGCATTGTCATTAAATCTGTCTATATGATTCATAGAGTGTTAGAGCTAGAAAAACTTTAGAGAGTGGACCTAAGCCCCTTTCATTTTATTGATGAGGAGACTGTGGCCAAGAGACGTTAAGTAATAGTCTAGCAAGGCTTACCCAGCTGGTTGTTGACAAGGCCAATTCTTAAGCTTCCAACTCTAACTTGTTGTTGTGAGGTGCCACTGAGTCACAGCGACCCTGTATAGGGTTTCCCAGAGCAGCTGGTAGGTTCGAACTTCCAATCTTGTGGTTCAAAATCCAATGCTGATCTTACAGCACCACACTTACAGCGTCCCAACTTGGTCCTTGTAATTTCATGCTACAAAACACAACAGGAAATATAATTCAGAGTGCATAGTTTTATCAGAGAAGAAAAGTCAGCTTGTCCTACCAGAGAACTATCTACTCAGTAGGCACTTGCCCTGATCCAGATTTCACTAATTGTCCAGAGAGTCCAGAAAGAATTGATTGTCAAATGTAAAACCTGAAAGCACCTCCTTTTATTCCTGGGAGAATGAACAAAGGTATCGTGGTGGTGGTTATGTGCCGTGGAGTTGGTTCCGACTCATAGCGACCCTGTACGGGGTTTCCGAGACTATAAATCTTTATGGGAGCAGAAAGCCTCATTTTTCTCCTGCGGAACAGCTGGTAGTTTCGAACTGCTGACCTTAAGGTTCACAGCCCGATTCGTAACCTCTATGCTACCAGAGCTCCTGAACAAAGGTATAATAATGATCAAATAGGTACAGAATGGTAATGATGTACCCAGCCCCGACACCTTGGGAATGTCCATCCATGTAAATGGAGAGAACAGAATTCAATGTAACTCATGGTCTTTGCTCTCAACTTAAGCACTGCTGATATTTTGCATGATTCCCTTTTTAGAGGTGGGGATGTCCTTTATTACAGACTGTATAGCAGCATCCCTGGTCTCTACTCCGTTGTGCACCAGTATCACTGCCTCTACTTCCTTGTCATGACAATCGAATACATCTCCAGACATTGTCCACTATCCCCTAGGGAACAAAATCCCCCTTCCCTGTTGGCATCTACTATTCTCAGCACTTGTTTCCAGGTAACTGCCCCACAGAGATTTCTGTTCAGCCTGTATCCCCATTGGGTTGCCACAGAGGTTGGGGGTTGATGATTGAACCTCATTGTGTGTAAATTCCCAGAGTTTCATATGTGGCAACCAACCTTAGCTCCCTAGGAATCTCTTCTGCCTGGGAACATGACAATTACAGATTAAAAAAAAAAAAAAAAAGTCTGTTAACAAGAGTCTCCTCAGTGTCTAGAATTCCCTGGCCATAAACAGTACTCTGAAGCAAATTCATAATTAAAGCAAAGCACATGAAGCAGGGCTAGTATACCACAAGATGACCAGGACAATGGAGCCCAGGGATATGAATGCTGTTTCCTAGGGTGATTATTTTCCTCTGGGTAACAGAGGGAAGACCCTGGTTGTGCAAATGGTTAACATGCTGGGCTGCTGACCAAAACGTTGGAGGTTCGAGTCTGCCCAAAGGTGTTTGGAAGAACAGCCTGGTAATCTACTTCTGAAAAAAAAAACAGCCACTGGAAACTCTGTGAGCATAACTCTTCTCTGACACACATGGGATCGCCAAGAGTCAGAAGTCAACTTCACAGCCACTGGTTACTTTCACGGAGGAGACAGGAGCCAGGCGGTGTGAGAGTGTACGGATGGTGGGTGAGCCTGCCATCAACTCTCCTCCCTGTTCAAGAACATCATTCCCAACGGACAGCTTTCTTTGGAGGGCAAAGAAAGGGGAACTGTATTTCTATGTTTTGATTAATTTGAGGCTCATCCTCGAGGGCTCTGTGAAATGAATGAGCATAACTTTCCATGGCTAACTGTCCTGGCCACTGGGTCCTATTGGCAAAAGGCTAGTGTTTATTTACTTTTGTTCATGTTATTTTTATTTCAGTTCAGCTGCAGCTCAGTGCGGAAAGCGTGGGGGAGGTGTACATAAAGAGCACCGAGACTGGCCAGTACTTGGCCATGGACACCGACGGGCTTTTATATGGCTCGGTAAGTATGAGGCTGACCTGCTTCCAGACACAGCCAAGGCTTGGTTTCCAGGCACCTTGTCACACTGAGGGAGCAAACTATAAAGCAACAATTAATGCCTGTTTGTTTGTTTTTTCCAGTAGGACACAAACATTTTTTGCAAGTTTCTTATGTCATTCTCTCAAAATACTTCAATGTATTCTTTTGCACAGACATAGAAGACAATTTTATTAAAACTTTAGTAACTTATCAGTCACTTGCTTGAGAATACCTAGTGGTGTGGCACTGTAGGATAAGCACTGGACCGCAAGATCATTTTGAATTGCAAGGTTGGCAGTTCAAATTTACCAGCATTCCTCAGAAACCTTATGCAGGGTTGCTATGAGTAAAAACCAACTCGACGGCACTTAAAAACAACAACAATCCTTCTTCAGTCATTCATTCAAAAATATTTCTTAAGCAACTATTACTTTCCAGGTGCTGTGTTAGGAGCTGTAGATACAGTGATGAAAAGCTAGATCTGTCTATGTCCGCAGGCAGCTTACATTTGGGACAAACTCATTTTTTTAATGTACTCTCTCTCATAAGAGGAAATATCCTACTTCTTACTCATTTCTTTTTTTCTTCTTCTTCTTCTTTTTTTTAAGTTTTTATTATAAATTGAGTAAAAGTTTACAGAGCAGATTGTCAGTTTTACATTCAAGAAATCATATATTGGTTCATTGAAAGGATTACAATCCCCTCCATGTGGTGTCAGTCAACAGTATTTACCTCTTTTGTTTTGTTATGATGTACATGCACAAAACAGAAAATATATATTCCTTTAAATATCCAAAGGGCACACTGCAAGCCAGCCTCCTGTCCACAGGCACACAGCCTTTTTCAGTCCATGAGCCTAGAATCCTTAGCTGTTCTCTCTCTCTCTCTCTCTCTCTCTCTCTTTTTCTCTCTTGCTCTTGCTCTGTCACTGTCTCAGCTGTCAATGATTTTCTGGTTTCTTACTCATTTCTTGTTGCTGTTAAGTACTGTTGAGTTGGTTCTGACTCATAGTGACCCTGTATAATTTCCAGGGCTGTAAATCTTTACAGGAGCAGCAAGCCTCATCTTTTTCCTGCAGAGCAGCTGGTGGGCTCAAACAGCCAGCCTTGGAGTTAGCAGTCTAGTGCTTATCTTACAGGCCCATCATGTTCCCTTTTCATTTATAGTCTAGTGAAATAATAAGTGGGTGGTGGTACAGTGGTTATGTGCTTGACTGTTAACTGAAGGGTTGGGAGTTTGAACCCAAGCAACTGCAGAAGAAAGGCCTGGTGACCCACTTTCCTAAAAATTACACCTAGAAATCCTTAACACCTAGAGGGAATGAGTCACTGGGCCTGGGGACTCAGGACTATAGTCTCAGGGGACATCAAGGTCAGCTGGCATAGCATAATCCACAAAGACAATGTTCTACACCCTACTTTGTTGAGTAGCTTTAAGGGGTCTTAAAAGCTTGTGAGTGGCCATTTAAGGTTAATTATTGGTCTCTCCTGATGAAAATCAAATACGTATGAACACAGTCCAGTGGACTACTGGGCCACATAAACATCATTATTCATGACCCTGAAAATATAACTAGATGGTACCCAGCTACCACTATCAACAACTCTGAAAGGAGTTACATTAGATGGAGTGGGAGAAACATGTGGAACAAAATTCAAGGACCACACTTACTGGTCAGAGAGATATAGGTAGAACCTCTGAGACCCCAGCCTTAGTTATTCTGCATGTCTGGAAACGAACTCACTCTCAGGACTCAATTTTCAGCCAAATAAAAGACAAGTCTATACGGGGACTAATAACACAAGGGAGATCAGCAACGTTAGAATAATCGGTCATTTAGTATCCAAAGGGCAGCAATTTTCCAAGGTCAAAGTTCAAAAGGGTAAGGAAAGGGGGAATGGAAACAGGAAACACCGGGAGGAAGTTGGATATGTTTCATTGTGGGGTTCCAGTCATTGTGATAAAACAAAATGTCTATGAATTGTTGAATGGAAAACTGAACTGCTCTATAGACCTTCACCCAATTCACAATTTAAAACAACAACAAAAGAATCCTATGGGGGCAGTTCTACTCTGTCACATCGGGTCACAATGAATTGAAGCCAACTTGATGATACCTAACAACATCAACAAGGTATGTTAGACCACTTTGAAGTAAGATGGGTTATAACATAATATTTAATTGGGGGACTCTGTGGCACTAGAGAAATGGTTCAGACTTAAGTGTTTGATATACATCGCCAAGGGTGGGAGGTAGGGAATTTTTGGTGTGGTGCTGTGGGTTAATGCGCCAGACTGCAAAGCCATTTGAACTGCAAGGTCGGTGGTTTAAGCTCACTAGCTACTCCTCGGAAACCCTATACAGGGTCGCTGTGGGTCGGAATCGACTCAACGGCACTTAACAACAACAAGAAGTACCTCTCACCTCTGGTTCACTATACGTGTGTCTCTTAAATTTTTTACCAAAATTGCAGAAGCATTAATTTATATGTCATGCTTTGAAAACAGCCTCCTTTATTTTTGTGGGGGCACCTAAAAAGATTAAAAGTTCAGTACCTTAAGTCAACAACTGTTTATCAAATGCTTCCTAAGCACTGTGTTAATTCCTAAAAGGGATGCAAAGATGAATGAGCCATGCACCTGCCCTTGAGAAGTTGTTGGTCTAATAGTTTATTTAATAAATAAAATCATCTACAGCTTCTGCCCTTTTCCTTTCACAGTGCTTTACACTGGTTCCTCTCCAGAAAAGAAACAGAGGCTACTTGATTTTGTTTCTTTTAGTATCTCTTCTAACAGATTTAACTGGAAAGAGAGCTGAAGCCAATGGCCCCAAATTTTGATACTAGTTTTGGATTTAGTTACTCTCCTTTCTGTCCTAACAGCTGATAAATCCAGACTAATTGACAGCCCAAGCCAAACCCTTTTTCCTTTTATGATGTCTACAAAATGGCAGTTAGTAGGGGGATTTAGTCTGGGGGCTCCCTTTAATTTATATAAAATTGCTAAAGTGACACATCCAAGGCACAACAATTGGTCTCTATTTGCCTGGAACAACAGAGGAAGAAGGAAAGTCAGGAATAGGAGGAAGATATGGAATGGGTGGCGAATTATTTCCACCTTTGCCTTGAGACCAGAAGAACTAAAGGGTGCCCAGCTACCATTACTGAACATTTTGATCAAAGATTCTATGGTGGTGGTGGTTGTGTGCTGTAGAGTCAGTTCCGACTCATAGTGATCCTGTATAGGGTTTCCGAGGCTGTACATCTTTACGGGAGCAGAAATCCTCATCTTTCTCCCGTGAAAAAGCTGGTAGTTTTGAACTGCTGACCTTGAGATTTGCAGCCCGATGCATAACCACTACGCTACCAGAGGTCTTTCATTCTTTAGAGGATCAAAATGAGGGAAGAACAGAAAAGAATTTCAGATTCCTCTCAAACTAATTGTCTTGAGATAAACTTGAAACCTTAAGTTAAAAATACCCCTGAAGTCTTAAAACCAAACAATAGTTTAGCTTGTTGTTATTGTTGTTGTTAAGTGCTGTCGAGTCCATTCAGAACCATAGCGACTCTGTACATACAGGGTTTCCGAGGAGCAGTTAGTGAACTTGAACCACCGACCTTGTGGTTCAAACCGACTTTGCAATCCACGCATTAACTCATAGCACCACACCAGGACTCCTATAGTTTAGCTTAACTAATAGGGAAGGTCTACCTTGAGAATTGTGCTCTTTTAAGAACTGTCTATATGGAATGAAATTTACAACAATGACGTCAAAGGTTAAATAGGAACCTAGTAGGCAAGGGGTGTATGTTAATGGGGGAGGAACAGCTCAGAAAAGGCGGATGAGAATGGTTGTACAACTTGAAGAATGTAGCCAATGTCACTGAACTGTACATGTGGAAACTGTATATTCTCAACAATAAAATAAATACTTTTTAAAAAAATTGCCAGAGATGGTGGCACAGGGAACACTGAAGTTATAATCTTAGCTAATGTTTGGGGTGTGAAGGCAGCTCTTTCATACTGCCAGCTAAGATGATATCATCACCTAGATTGCTGTCAAGACACAGAACCATTGGAACAACTTTAGGGAGTTTGAAACTAGGCAAGACTGCTATAGAAGGAGTAGATTTTTGTTGTTGTTGTTAAGATGGTTCTTCTAGCAAGTAATAAAATCAACCAGGCAATCAACCAACCAATCAATAGATTATAGGTTCATTGTAGTTCAGTCTCACGTCTCTGCCACAGTAGCAAGTTACTTGCCCCCTCTGAGCCTGATCTAGAATAGGGATAATAACAAATAGCAAAGGTGACTTGTGGCACAATGGACCATGAAAGGTTGATGGTTGGTACCCACCAGCCACTCCTTGGGATAAAGATATGACAGTCTACTTTTGTAAAGATTACAGCCTTAGAAACTCTACTTCCAGTTCTGCTCTGCTCTATAGGTTTGCTATAGTATCGGTATGAGTCGGAAGCTACTGGATAACATAGAATTTCATGGTTAGAACTACCTCATACAACACTGGTTGTTTTTCAGTTCTGTGTCCTCTTCAGGACCATTGGTATATTGGTGGTGCTAGTACACAGAATTTAGGAGGCAGGGGTCAGTGGGGTCACACACAGAAGGCACCCACCCACCGGCACGAATCACTAGTAGCTGTAAGACAAATAGCCCATTTGTAAATAATTCTTCCTCATTGTTTCTGATATCATATATTACAGTTTACGGCCCTTTCCCCGCCCCCTTTAAAGCAGTTTCAGTGTATAGTATCCCATTCTTGGTGGTGGTGGTGGTGGTGGTGTGCCATGGAGTTGGTCCCTACTTGTCAAGACCCTGTATAGAGTATCTGAGGCTGTAAATCTTTACGAGAGCAGAAAGCTCCTCTTTCTCCCTCAAACGGCTGGTAGTTTCGAACTGCTGACTTTGAGGTTAGCAGCCTGGCTTGTAACCACTATGCTACCAGAGCTCCTAATCCCATTCTTACCTACATGAAAATACTGAGGGATTTCCACTGTGCAACCCCTTTCTTCCACCAGAGCTGGGGTTGATGCAGAGTGATGAGAATATATTATGCATAATCATTTTTGCACATTCCCCACTAAAAGAAGTTTTATAACACCTCAGACTTCTGCTTCCTGCTCTAAACCAAATTTTGCTATTAATCCATTGTGACTCAATTTTTGTGTGTGTATATGGAAAGGATACATTTCTTAAAAAAAAAAAAATAAATAAGTTTAAAGGTCTATATAGCAAAATAATCATTTGTTTCTGGGAGTGGGAGCTGGGTGTTTTCAATTAAGGTGTGAACAGCTTCCTGCAGCTTCCTAGTTTTCTATAGTGGGGATATGTCACTTATGTAATGGGGGAAAAAAGTGCTAAATATAAAAAAGAAAACAATTAAAACAAGAGTCATGAGTCAATAGCTAACCCTCATGTCCTCAGCATAGTACGAAGCACCCTCCAATGTGGCCGGCTGACTCAGACGGTGACTCAGCCATTCTGTGTGTGTCAACTGATGTAGTGTAACAGAGCACCAGGTGGGGAATGTGGCCATCTTCACCTTCGTCACAGAACGTGGGTCTGACGCCCACTGAGGGGCGTCAGAGGGTGAGCTATCCTAACACTCCCTAGCTCCCCGCCCCTGACAATGTACATCAAAGATTAATGTCTGCATTATTTCTCCAGATGCAGCAAAGTCATCCAATTTAGTATTATATTTATATCCCATCTTCCTCCAAGATGATTTACGATGTCTCACCCAGTTGTCATTTCATGAGACTATAAATGTTATATGGTTACTTACTACATGGTTGCTTACTAATAAAAACTAAACTTTATTGAATGCTTTATATTGTCTCAAGAATCACATTTAATTCAACAGGCAGCTGGTGAGCACCTCTTATTTGCAAGGTTGTAAGCTAGACCTAATGGGGGATTCCAAGCCAACAAGAATCCATCCCTCCCCTCAGTAGGACGTACAGTCTGATGGGATAAACATGCCTACCAATAATTAGAGCACAACAAACAATCTCCTTGGAAAACAACCATAAAGGTCACCTCTCAGGTGAGGAAATAATATAGAGATCACATGACTTGAAAGAGGAGCTAAGTCATCAATCAGTGTAGACTAGTTTTTATATTTGAATTAATCCAAACATAGTAACTGTATTCTAAAGTCATATCCATATGAAGTCCTGGTGGTGCAAGGGTTAAATGTTCGGCTGCTAACCTATAGGTTAGCAGTTTGAACCTACCAGTTTGATCTGCAGTAAACAAAACCTGGTGATCTGCTCTTATAAAAGTGTTCCTAGGAAGCCCTGTGTAGCAGTTCTATTCTGTCACATGGGGTTTCTATGAGCTGAAATTGACTTGATGGCAAACAACAACGTATCTATACAACTTTACTCTGTCTTTCTGTGTGTATGCTTAAAAAGAGATGCTGTTGTTTGTGAAGTACCATCCGACTCATAGAGACCCCTCACAGGGTTTCCAGGGAGCTTCTGGGGAGTTTGAACTGCTGATCTTGCAATTCAAACCGACCTTGCGGTTCAAACCGACCTTGCGGTTGAGTGCTTATCCTACAGCATACCACAAAGCAGGGAAGGATATTCACTGCTAACACTTGCCATTATCTGGGTGTTGAACTTTGGGTGATTTTTTTTTTTTTTTTTATGCTTTTATTGTGAATTATGTGATCATTTCCATGGGAGAACATTATCTTTACATTCATCCTATCGTATTTCGTTTGATTGCAATGATTACAATCCCCTCCAGGCATCATCAAACAACCAAAGGGTACACCCTGCATGCCTGCCCTCTTCCCCCTGCCCCCCACCCCAGCCATCAGCACACTAACCCTCTCCCTCCCTGAGTCTAGAGTCCCCAGTTGCTCCATCTCTCCACGTCATTGTCTCTGCCTCCATCTCTGGTGACACTGCTTCTCTGGAAAGGATCCTGCACTTTGCTTTTCTCCTTTGATGGTTCCAGGGACCTCCACTCCTGGACTGCAAAATTAACCACTCCCCTCCTTTTGTTACAAAACATCTACCTTTACCTTTCCAATACTCATAGTCAGTCCTGATAGCAATCATTTCCTATCGAACCACAAGAATCTTATCTCTATCACTTTTCATCAGCTCCGTCCAGACAGGTTAGAAACCACTCAGTGGAGATTCTACCTTTCCCCATGCCCTCTGGAACTCGGTTCCCTATTGAAAGCTTGTAAGCCAGTCACTTCTTGCCTTTGTGTTGTTGTTGTTGTTAAGTGCCATCGAGTCGGTTCCGACCCATAGTGACCCTGTACGGGGTTTCCGAGGGTGTAAATCTTTACAGGAGTAGAAAGCCTCATCTTTCTCCCACAGAGCGGCTGGTAGTTTCGAACCGCTGACCTTAAGGTTCTTGCCTTTGTAGACCCCCCATTTTGAGTAAACAATGTCTAAGTTGCCCATCATTGTCTATCCTGTGTACCAAGGGGGTGGGAATGCTCCTCACTGTAAAGATTTGTTCCCTCCTTTGTCCTATTGCATCCACAAGCATAGGTCAAGTTCACCAAATTGTAGTGGATTACTTTTTTTCCCCTCCTCTTTCTTCCTCTATTCAAGTTCTGATCATCCAGCCATTGAAGCCAAGTCAGGTGGGTACTGTCGGACATTAATTTTTCTCTATCTCTTTTTTATTTTAAGTAATGTTGTGGCTCTTGAAGGGGAAAACAAATATTTTCTTTTTATAAGGAGCCAAAAGATAGTTATTTTCATTTGAAAACAAGAACCTCACTTAAACTCTGGGATATCTTTTATGCTTACACATTTTACACAAGAATGTATATTCATAATAGCACAGAGATAAAAAGTCTGATGGCATTAGTGAAAGTCATTAGAATGAACAAGTAGTCTTCCTTTTATTTTTCAAGGCCAAACATGAGAGACCACTATTGCAGCACAGTTTTGTTTGAACTCTTTAGAATGTTTTTCATAGGCATGCCTATATATGTAAGGCCTTTACAATGAGAACGGCTAAGCCCTGACCCCAAGGTGCTAAAATGGTGCAGAAACCCCAAGAGAAAACTCTGGAGCCTTGGGAATGGCAAATAGAAAGGAAGCTGACAATAATACAATTTGAAGGCTCATTGTGTGATAAGCACGACTGTAAGTGCTCACATTACAACCCTCTGAAGCAGGTTCTACTATTATCCCAATTTTCCTAAGGAAGAAACAGGCCCAGGGAACCCCTGTGACTTGTCCAAGGTCATACAGCTAGTAAACCAAGGAACCCCCTCTAAGCCCTTTCACCAATAGTAGACTTTTCTTTTGGTTTTATCTTTTTAGCAGGCACCAAATGAAGAATGTTTGTTCCTGGAAAGGCTGGAGGAAAACCATTACAACACCTACATTTCCAAGAAGCATGCAGAGAAGAATTGGTTCGTTGGTCTCAAGAAGAACGGAAGCTGCAAACGCGGTCCTCGGACTCACTATGGACAGAAAGCAATCTTGTTTCTTCCCCTGCCAGTCTCCTCTGATTAAAGAAATCCATTCAGGGTGCTGACCACTCCAGAGGAGTTGCATGGGGTCCTCATCCCATTGACCCCCAGAATGTTCCCTTGACCACTGGCTGCACTAACCCTTGGCCCACAGAACCTGAATTTGTAAGCAATGTGCTTCTAAATACCCAGCTCACCCTTTTGCAGAGCCCTTTACCCCAGTAGTGTTTGGAACAGAGAGGACCAAATTGCTTCTAGGGGCCAACTGGCTGGCTAGTCTGGGTCTGGGTTTGGATGTCCGGTTGCTTCTGGACAGGCTACAGGCTGAGCCTCTCAATGCAAAGGTGGGGCCAAATGAAGTGTGTTAAGGGGTCTGCCAAATGAGTCATTAGTAACTGCGCACAATTTCCCTCTACTGAGTGAACCCTGTCTGCTGTTCCCCCAAACATCTGGTCTGACTTCTTTTCATCCTTTCAATAATAATCCACAAAGATTCACAGAGAAGCTTATTACTAGTTTAGAGGAAGGCAGCAATCCATGAATAGGAATAGGAAAGAGTGATTTAAAGTGAGAAGGGGCCGTGGACAAGTTAGAAGGATGAAATCTCCGTGCAGACTCCATGAAGTTGGGAAGCAGAATAAACCCATAGCCCTGGGAGTCCTAATGTTTCCTTCTCAAGGTTATTCAGCAGCAGGAAGCCACTGCCCGGTGCTGGGTGGAGATAGTGAGAAGTGGTTTCTTGATAAAGAGCAGGGACATCAGATGTTGACAGGTTCATGAGTACAGGGAGTGACAACAAAGGGAGGGCAGCCTGGTGTAGGGGATACATTCCTCTCTCAAAGAGGATGATTTCAGAAGTGAAAAAGAGATGCTCTGGGGCATGTTTGGCCATGGTGAACAGGGCCTTTGGGATCCTAAGACAGTGCTTCTTTAACTCTGGGATCTTGTTTAAACACAGGTCCCGATTCACAGGGACTAGGTGGAGTCCCAGATGCTGCAGATGCTACTGTCTCCCGTAAAACTTAGCCAGTACAAGCTGTCTCTGCATTAACTCCAACTCATGGCGACCCCACGTGTGTCTGAGTAGGACTGCATTTCCTAAGGTTTTCAGTGGCTGTGTTTTCAGAAGTAAATTGCCAGGCCATTTCTGGGTGGACTCAAACTCCAGCCATTCTGTTAGCAACTAAATGCATTAACTATTTATTTTAGGTACCAAGGTCCTCAAGAATGTTATTCAAATGAAGGTGGCTCAAACCCTCGTCCCTCACCTCACCCTTAAAATGCATGGTGTCCTCCCCCCTCCACCCCTGTGCCCCTTCCTGAGCATTACAGGCAAAATTTACAGTAGTTACATCTGATAAAAGAGCACGGTTTTAAGGCACTTTGGTCCAACGCCTATAGAATGCTATTTAGAAGATATAAAAAAGCAGACTTCAACAATGTTAAGCTCTTACACACAGCGTTTCCTCAAAGACCATATTTGTGTTATGATTACTTGTACAAATATGCTTCGTGCTTAAAGTAAGCCTGATACAGTGGCTAGCAAATTAGAAACACCATTGCTACTGATGCCAGTGGAAAGCCTTTAATAAGCCATTTAAACTTATTGTGAGACTGTACATTTTAATCACATTTAAAAATAGATAGCTCCAAGGTGGTCAAATTTATTAGCATTCAGCCACTGAGAAAGATAATAATAGGATACTATGTCTAAGCTACTCAGTTATCTACTACTTAAACTGCATTTCCCTATGGCATGAGATTTTTCTTTGTTTTCCACTGTGCTGTTAGAAATGTTCCAGTCAAAATGGGGACTTCTAAGCAGTGATGTGATAATTGTGGGTGAAAAACTGATGAGAGGGCTAGCTTGTGTTTTACAAGAAACTGTAAGTAATTATTCATTGAAAAATAATTCCTTAGTAACTGAATTGCCATGTTTAGGAGTAATAGTGCAACTGAGGAGTTGATCTAAGTAAGTTAACATTATGGTCAATGGTATCATTATGCATTTGAACCAAAAAATGATTTTATGACTTTTTTTTTTAGAAATTTGGATAAGATGATTCCATTTTTAAAAATCTTTGCAGGCAAGTTGGGGATCATGCAGTGTGGCTTAACATCACTTTACTATGAGGATTTGGCCAGAAAAAAAGTACCCAGAGAGGAAATCCATATTTATAATGGTACATAATTCTTAGTATATGAATAAAATTCAAACATAACATTGGCCAAGAAAAATTAAATACCAATGCTGACAAATGAGACGGAAGTCTGTGGTCTCAGAGACTCAGGCATTGTAGAAGAAAACTACTGTGATCTCAACAACCTTATTCTAGCCATCATTCAATGAATATTTATTAAGAGCCTGCTGTGTGCCAGGCAATGTACTGGGTTCTAGGGATCCTGGGACCTGGTCTGTCCGGCCTGCTGCTGAATCCTCGCCCAGGGCATTATATTTATGTGGATTCGTTTCTTTCAGTCAAGTAAGAAACTAGACTTTATAGGTTCCTGCTGAACAAACAATGAGTAGCAGAAACCCAGGTTTTGGAAATATTTGCAGCCCCCAAACTAAGATAAACTCCTCCTGAAATCTCAGAGAACATGACCCTGTAGGCCTAACTTTTCCTATTGTAGAAATGTGTCACGGTTGAGGGGTGGGGAGAGGGGCACTGCTTCCAAATCAGGAAAACAATGTGTCAGTTCTTGTAAGAAGGGAGTGGTGATCAGTTTCTAACTCCTTTTAGAACATGCTCTAGTTTCTTCACCAGGAGTGCCCTCCCATTGTGCGCTCTCTTCCTCACCTGGATGCATTTTCAGGCCAACCGCTAGGGGGTGCCTGACCAAGTTACACTTCATAGGGAGTGTTTGTGATGGCTTTCAGTGTGGCGGTTCTCTGTATTTCCTTGGAGAGAATGAAAACCAAAGCCTCTTTATGACCAACGATGTATATTTAGAAAAAATGAGCTGGAGTCTAGTCTGTTACTGAAGATCCAGATCATTGCTTTGTGTTGGAGGTGACGACAGAACCCAAGTCCTCAACCTTGCACAGTACATTGCCTCAACCAATCATGCTCCCGGGCTGCAAAGCAAGTCTCTGATGATGAAGATGCCTCTCATTTTACATCAATGTCTTTTTTTTTTTTTTTAATATATCACAGTATGTACCTTACAAATATTAATAAATGGTCCATTAGTAGTTGATATGGTCTCAGAGTTTCTGAGTATCACTGTGCATCATCTTTCTACTGAAGGGTTTTCCCTACCACCTCTGTGGTATAGCTACTTTGTGTTCTCTGTATTTCCTATCAGCACATAGGAGACTTCTAAGACTGCCTGGGACAGCTAAGTTAGAAATGCTTGTCATTTTGTTTGAAAACCGAAGGCAGTATTGGTGATTTTTCTAGGAATCCATTATGGAAATAAGTTCAGGAAATGTGTCCGGAAGAGCCAGGCATGATCAATAACTCAGTCTACACTTTGTCTTCATATTGTAAACTAAGTGAAATTATGTTACTATTACGGAGCTTGGGCTCAGGCAAAAGCACTGTGGCCTTAAACTGTTTTAAGAATTTATTTACAATTTCAGTCAATGGCAAGAGAGTGTATCTTTTGTATCTCAAGAGTCCTGATGTGAGGCTATCGGTTGGCCCATCAGATTTTCTGAATTATCATATTAATCAATGTCTCCTGACATAAACATCTGACTCTCTGACACCTTATTCTTCAGAAGGAATACACTGTTTCCAAACACATAATCAGGCCTCACACACATACTCACTCTACACTTACATACACATTCATGTGGGTGCATGCACATATACACACTCATGCATGCATACACACATGAACATAAGCACACTTGCTCCCACACAGACATGTGCACACACTAACATATTCATTCATAGAGCATATACATGCATTCACACACATGCATAAATTGTCTATGAAAAAACAATGGGGCAATGCTTGCTTGTTCAATCTGCTAATTACTATAACTTTTCCTTTTTAAGTTACTTAAATCACTGTGGATTTTTTTCTTTAGCACAGTAAGAGGTATTTTTTACATTACAACTCAGTATACATATACATGGAGTCCTGGTATGGTGCTGTGGGTTAATGCAACAGACTGCAAAGCCATTTGAACTGCCAAGTCAGTGGTTCAAGCTCACTAGCTGCTCCTTGGAAACCCTATACAGGGTCGCTATGGGTCAGAATTGACTCAATGGCACTTAACAACAATAATAACACATATACATACATACACTTGAACTAAAAATATTTCACAAAATTATATGAGATGCACTCAGATTTTCCTATTATACCCCACTCAAAAATGCTGGTCAGATATCAATTGATTTCAAGACACTGATAGGTCACAGGACTCCTGGTGTGGTGCTATAGGGGCATCACCGGACTGCTAATAGCAAGATCACAGCTCAAACCCACCAACTGCTCCTAGAAACCCTATACAGGATCGCTATGAGTCAGAACTGACTCTATGGCACTTAACAACAACAAATGGGTCACAGCCACAGACAGAAAAACACTAGCTTACAGCAATGGCTTTCTGTCCCAAACACTAAGAGACCCAGTTAGGATCCTAAGTTATGACTTCAGTGCTTTCAAAGACAAGATTGGTTCTTGAATAAACAAGACTTGGGGACATCCTGTTACCCAGGAACCATCTGTTTTGAAGATTTTGTGTACAAATCATGCCAAATGACTGTAACCATGTACATTCACAAACACCCACTACTGCCTCCAGTGCGGGCCTTAGCCCATTTCTGTTCTCAGAAAGCATGGAGATTCTGGCCCCTTCTCCCTCCTTTGGAATTCTCATCACTGGGTCTTGAGTTTGATCCATAACTCCCACAGTCTTCATATCATTCTTTCCTCCTGCTCCCAAAATTCCTATTTCATAACAATTCTTAAACTGGACATAAATAATAGACTGAACAAAACACAAATTCTTAAAAAAAAAAAAGGCCAGACTTACTGGACCTGTAAAGACTAGAGAAACCCCCAGCCCGTCGCTCTGAGACCCACTTTCAGCTAAATAACAGATTGGCTGCAAGTACTATGTGCCTTTGAAACAAAAGGAAATCATCTAATCATCTATATGAGACCAAAAGGATCAACATTTAGCTTAAAGCAAAGATGAGAAGTGTGTGTGTTGGGGTGGGTGGGCAGGAGGTGGGGGGAGGGAGGAGGAAGGAAATGGAAAAGCCAGAATGGACCTGAGAATGTTAATACGATGTGGAAAATATAAGGAATGTCACTGAACAATATGTATGTTGTTGTTAAGTGCCCTCAAGTCAATTCCGACCCATAGCAACCCTGTATCAGGTTTCCGAGGAGCAGCTAGTTAGCTTGAACCACCGACCTTGCAGTTCAAACAAACGGCTTTGTAGTCTGGCACTTTAACCCACAATATGTATGGAAATTG